AAAAATCTGATTGAGGAGAGAATACTATACTCTGGAGCATTCTAGTGCAGCAGAACCTACTGGCATTCTGCATTATGGAGTTTTAATATACAAATAAAGATGCAAGTATTCCATCTCAATCTTTCTTGTCTCTAATGTGTTAAACATATTAAAAATATTATTTCAGTACAAGTAGTGACAGACGACGAGACTGGAATCAAGGCTTGTGAATGTGCAGTGATTGGACTGTGCAGTCTTTTACTGCCTCGTCTTTGTCTTTGTGCGCATTTCTTATCCAAACTGAATTTCGCCTTGGAAACATTACTTTGTACTCTACCAAGAAAGTGCACCATGTAATGAAACTCAACATGGAAATGGAAAGAGAGTCTTCGGAGATATATAAAGAGGCAGTGATGGATATTGATTGATATTTGACTCTTTGAAAAGGGAAGATGTAATTACAGATTTATAGATTTTGTTTGCAGGGAACTTTTTGCTGATTTGACTTCTCCAGTGCGGTGGAACAGTAGCTGTAATCACTCGTCCGTAGTTGTGTGGAGAGATAGTGTTCAAAAGTGTCTTGTTTCCAGCCTCAGCTCTGCTCTGCTGCTGTCTCATTATACCTCTGTTGCTTCACTGGAGGACGCTGAAGGACACGCACTTGCATTCAAGTCTTGTATATTCCCCTGAAACCAATCAAGAAAAGCCACGGAATAATAATCCTTGTCCAGTGTCATGATTCAATTTTATTTTTCTCGATATTTTTCCCTGGCATTTGAGTCATTCGGAAAAGACCGGTCCCAGCGTAAAATCAATGTTCCATTAAAATTTAATGACGAGGAAGGCTTAATAGTGGTGGAACAGATGCCCAGGCTTTTGATAACACCCACGTCTCAGGAACTCTCATTGAAGCTGTCAGGCCCTCAGCCGGCACGCAAACAAAAGGATACCAGCGTCCTGTGGCTTGTAGCAGTCAAATAACAAGTTTGTAAAAGAATTGTGAATCTTGTATAATCATTCATCATTGACACAGGACACACAATATCCTGCATAACCGCATCAGTGAGAGTATGGAACTCGGACTGGGGATAGGAGAAGAGGATTCACTTTGGTTTCCCTTTGGACAGATCTGTCTTGGGCTACCGGGCATGATACTTTATACAACATTGTCGATAAAATGAAAACTCAATATCATTTTATCAACATGTGATGCCGTGTGACTCACTCAATGAAAATTGTCAAATTGACCTTGATTCATTCAAAATGTAATGATTACAGAATGGGAGGGTTAGACATCTATTTGCTCTCTATCATATCTTCAGTCCTCCTGGTCCCAGTTGTTTTATGTCCTCGTTGAGATTCTCCAAAGCCATGTGTCTTTCTCTGTAATGCAGACCTCATGGCGTAGGTTAAAAGGAATAGTAGGAAAATGGAGACAGAAGAAGATATTTTTGTCCCGTTGTTTTATCGCAGTCATTTGGAAAACCGTTTTGGTTTGATCATCTTCAGGCAGTTTTCTGCTATAGTCAGTGCTAAATATTAATACTGGGTTTGTTGTTTGTCTATTTGCGTTGTTGTAACGGAAACTTTTGTACAATGTATTTTCTACCTATTCACTGGAAGTTTACAGTTTATACATAACTATGTTGATGTACATAATTTTTTCTCACTGTCTGAAAATTAAACTTCTGGTGCTTCAGAAAGTTGTATAAATAATTACTGCTCTCAAGATTTTGGGGCGAGTCAATCAAAATAATTTAGGTAAAAGTAACTGACCTAATAAAAAATGCTGTGTATTTCTAACTATTCTTGTGTAAGTATATTTACTGTTTTGTTTTGTTAAACAGTGGTAATAAAACTGCTCTAGTTTCAGTTGCAGAAGGCAATTTTCATGTTTTTCAACTGGAGACAGTCCAATATGTAATAATATAATATATTTACTAATGTGAGCAATATCTAGAAAAACATCAGTATTTCAATTTTTATGACGATGCTTTAAAGAACATATATTGTGATCTGATCTATGACACCTGTAGATTATTATTATATATTTTGATCTACTGTATAATAATGTTTAAAGTAAAATGTCTGTGTTGGCTGTAAAATATGGGGTGAGCACAGCATCTTGAATGCAGAATATAAATGACTCACACTAACATGCATGACAAAATGTCCCCTTTAACGCCACAATGATGCACATGCCAGACAAAGCAACACACGAAGAGCAGGTGGCGGACCAGTTACAGTGCGGTTCATAAGTGAGAGTGCATAGAAAAGAGAGTGGACTTAAGGCTCCTTGTGCTATTGTTTTATTATCATTGCTATTGTTGTCATCATTATTATTGTCACAGAAGAGAAATCAAACCCTCAGTCATGGCTTCAGTTTGTTCACACTCAAATGGAGAGACACAAAAAGAGGAAGAGAGAGTGAGTGGGTGAAATCTTAATCATTTTTCTTGAGGACCATATGGAAGGTTTCGGCAGCCCACCATATGTTGAAGGCTTTTGTCATGGAAATTATACTTTTTTGGCACTTTTCATTGCGCAGCCACGTTGGGCACATCAACAAAAGCAAAATCAGAACAGAAACTCAACAGACATGATCCAATTTTCTACGAAACAAAATAGTTTGAAGTGGATTAGATACTTAAAACAGACAACTTCTAATCAAGACGCTCCCTGATTGGCATGGCAACCCAAACTTTGTGGTACCTGTATTATAAGTTGTTTTTTAGTTTTCATTTTAAAAAAAGATAGCATGAATACAAAAGGAGCAATTATATGCCTACATGCATTGTCATATTATTGCTGTGATATATGTACAATATATTTACAAAATTATCAAAGAGGAACAATGTGGTTTTTGGAAGAAAAAAAATAGAATCAGAAAGCGCCTCTCTTCTTGATTTCAATGGTTTAAACCTGATTGTGATAATTAGTTTTAGCTGATGGTTTTTGGTGCTCGGAGCTTAGTGGTGAAGAGACAGGTGTTGGATGTAGCTGTGATTTAGCTGCACTCAATAATGTTCTGAAATTACGATATAATTGTAGGAAATAAAACCAAATATAATGCGGACCATTGAAATCAAAGTCAACTGGTTCACTTTCATTATTTCACTTTGATTACACAAAAAACCCAAGATTGTTTTAGTATACTTGAGTAACTAAAAATGTATCTTTTTTTACATAAACGTCATAACGCAAAAATGAATATTGTGATTGCCCTGAACCACTGCAAATACAGAGGTAAACACATCTCATTGTGTGTTGCTCTGTTGGAGAGCGGATTGTATTATCCATTTGGAATATGCAAATGGCTGACAGTGCATTTGCCTGCTGCTGCTTGACCTTCCTGTGGAGGTCGGCTATATCTGCAGTCTGTCCAAATGCACCTGTTCCTCCACAGCACGCAGCTCTTTATGCAGCTCGACGTGTGGCGGACTCTGGCCTATAGTAGTGTCTAGTGCCATTCAAATTACCTCCCGTACAACAGAAGATAAAAGAAACAAACAGATTGCTTTATAAACAACAACATCTCTTAAATTTGATTCAAAGCTTCAGATTTTTGGTCTAAAATGTGTAATGTTTGGCCTGTTATTGCTTTAGTTCTGAATCGAGTGTCACACAAATGCACATTTCACTGATGCCGTGGACTAATACACACAGAAACACTAACACTATTATTTTTTAAACAATTTATTGCCTGAGATTCAAAGACAAAGGCGCGACACAAGGAGGCTGTGTCATTTTGGGAAGAGCAACATGCAGAGGAATTAAAAAATCTGTTTTGTGACGTCTTTTATTGCCTGATATTGGCTGAAACAGAACAGCGCTGATTGTGTTACAGGTGAATTGCTGTGAGAAAAGTTATTGCCAACAACAAAAGTCTGCATCATTCACTGGGGCCAGTGCTTCTGTACATTGTTCCTCTTTAAAAACTAAGTCCCAGGGACTCTACAGTTTTCATGCATATCAACATTTTCTTTGAAGATCAGCAGCATCTTACATGATCAATGGATGTCCATATTAAAACAATTACAATATGAAATAAATACATAATCATTCATAAATAATAAATAGAAAAAATAAATAAATGATTAGATTAATAAATAGTTAATAAATAAAGTATTTACATGATAAATAGATGGGATTTAAAGATGAGTGAAGCTTTGAGCGACAGACTGATGGACTTTGTAACTGAGGGTGTGACTGAAGGAAGAACGGGGCATTGCTATAGACTGAGTCTGAGTTTAACACTGAAAACCTGTTCAACAGGCGACTGGAGCATTCAAAATCACTTATACACGATAGTGACCTATGGCCTATGGTCCTGTAGCTTATGTAGCTTTTTGGAAAACCCACAGTTACAAAGGAACCAGCACACAAAATAACTCTAGAAAAATCATATAGAAAAATAACATCCATTGAATTTAAACATTGGTGTGAAAAAAGGGTTCCAACCTTTAAAACGATCTCCCTTTTTTGCAAATACTGTCATAGTTCACATTTTCATAAAAAGTTGGCAGTTGCAAAAGAATTCAATTCTTAGCAAATAAAAAGCAGCATAAAAATACAAGAGGTCATTTTGTCTAAAAAACAAAAGAACACTGTTAGTTCTTTTTCTTTTTTTTTCTTTTTTTATTACTATTTGCTATAAAATATCAGGAATCTAAATATTATTACTATTGATATCAATATCATTATAGTCATTGATAAAAATTCACATGCCAGGCCTCATATATAGTGTGTCAGTTGTGTACAGTGCGTGTACATGCGTACATGGCTGTGTCCAAGTCTGTTATACTGTGAACACTACTTCTACAGTCTCTATTTGGGGAAGGTTGTTGATTGTTAGTTCCTGTGGGCGATTAGCTACTGTAGTGTGCAGGGTAAATCCAGCATCTTTTGAAAGTGTCTTTGCCATAATTGTTTTTTCACATAATCTCAGTGAAAATATTGCTTTCTAAAAAAAGGGAAGAAAAAAGGCATGGAGGGCAGAGTGAGCAGGATTATTAGCCATGTTAGTTTTCTGATCCGGAATCGTCCTCGTCTGCTGAGCCCTTGAAGCATGCCGACTCATAGTGCTTATTCAGGTAGGACTTGAGGGCGAAGGTCTTATTGCAGCGCTTGCATCGGTAGTGCTTGAAGGCAGAGTGCGTTTGCATGTGGGCGCGGAGGTTGGAGCGGTCGGCAAAGGCTTTCCCGCAGTGGGCGCAGGCAAAGGGCTTCTCTCCGGTGTGCGAGCGCATGTGGCCCTGCAGCAGCCACGGCCGGCTGAAGGCCTTGCTGCACACGTCACACTTGTGCTTCAGGTCGTGGGTGAGGATGTGCATGGCCAGTGCGGGCATGGACACGTACACCTTTGAACAGGTGGGACACTTGCGGGCCATCTTGCTGTCCAGGCTGCGGTGCGTCTGCTTGTGTCGGCTCAGATTGGACGACGTGGCATACGTCTTTCCACACTCGTTGCATGTGTGTCGAGCTGTGCCCCCGGCTCTCTCTGCCACCACCTCGCTCGGGCTCTCTCTGGAGCATGGCTCCCGGTGCTCTCGATCCCCCTTCCTTCGCGAGCGCCCGTCCGAGATGAAGAAGGCATCCATGGTGTATCCCTCGGCTGGTCCGTCGGACTCGCCGCTGTAGTAGCCACTGGCTGTCATCCCGGACTGCGGGCTGTCCGGCTGCTTGAGGTCAGGGTCGCAGTAGTCCTCTCCTCCGCTGACGGGGCTGTACAGAGGGTCCGACACCAGCCGGTGCTCCAGCTTCTTCTCATCCTGGTATGCAGATGGTGTGATGTAATCCTGGATGTAGCCTGGATAAAAGACACATGCGGTTGGCCAGAGGTTGTGATGGATAAGGACGAAGTGACACACTGTGATTACATGATTATCGTGTTGGATGATTGCCCTTCATCAAACGCAAGAGGAGACATTTGCATTTCTCCTCATCTAACGAGTTATGCACAACAGTGAGGAAACAAGACACGCTTAACTGCATTTACGAAGGTTGCAATTTTACAGTTCAGATGAACAGCAGATAATAGCTCATCAAAGAGCTCTCCTGAGTGTGTGCTACACTATACCCGGAACTGAAATGAAGCTGTCTTATTGATTTGAACTTTGAATGATAAGACTGTCTTTATTCCTGACATGTCAGTCCTCAGTGCCTGATCGCTGCCCTTGTTTCTTACTATGAAGATTTGAACTGAAGCCTGAAGTCAAACGGTAGCTTCTTCAAAGAGCCATGCACACCATTGTGTCATGTTTGTAATGAATTCTACTGTTGGTGTGCTATACAGACATCTTCAAATCTCTTCTGCTGGTGAGAGCTGGCTTAATGAATACAACACAATAATCTGTTTGATTTTCTGTTTTTGTTCAAATCAGCTGCTTTGGTAGCGTTAAACTGCTGGGCATTTGGCAGTGACAGATATTGTTCTAGAATTGGCTTTAACAAATTCAAGTTTAGCAGAAATTCTTTCCTCGATTGAAAGGCTTACTGCATAACAGGACAAAAAGCTTCTGTGTGCAGCTTGAGGTGGAAATTAGGTATTGACTGTTTTTTAATGAAATTCAAAGTTTTCATCTGATCAATAGACTATCATCTGTAAAATAGTACAGCTGCGGGAACAGCGGGCTCAGGAGAAAGGAAATAATGTGCAAGATCAGATCACACACAACAGCAGTGCAGTGACATTATTGTTCTGTGGACGGATACGACTCTCTCTCATTGTCTGTGCAGAGGGTCACCTGTCTTAAGCTCAAGTGGCCTCCAGAAACAGCCCATTAATTCAGCTGAAGTGCTCTTCCTACAGGCCCCAGTCTCCCGAGGGCTCTGTTCACACAGCACTTTGTCACAGACATGACCGTGGCACCTGGAGACAGCAGCAGCACAGGCTCGCTGCATGGCTTCACACTGCACTGACTGTGAAACACTGGTGAAACAGGAAAACCTGAGCACATGGCCTTCTACTCTGTGTAATCATCTGCTATTCATTAGAGCTGCATTTGTCGCCAGAACTGGAATCTTTCTGATTCTAGGTTTGCAATAATATTTTTAACATGTATGTATAAGTTTTCTATGTTGTATGTTCTGGTTTTGAAAAATAAATACAAATAGCTTTTAGGGCAAATAAAATCATTTATAAACTAATGCAAGAATCAAATGCATCAACTCTAAACTTAATACCTTTGCTGACATTCCATTACCTTAATTGTGTTTACGTTTCACTCTTTTCTTTGGAGATCCGTATTAAGAAACTTCTCAATCACTTTTATTATTATTTGTAGAACCAGTATATAAAAAAGTACTGGCTAATACAAGCTTGTTGTCGCCTTAACAGTGGTTTGTAAATGCACACGCGTTTCAATTAGCCAAGGTCAGACAAGAGCTCATCATTTAGGGCTAACGCTGTATCAGCCTTTGCAGCTCATAGGCTCATCTCTGTAATGCTAAGCAAGCATGTAATTAATGGAGCCTCTCAGCCACCCCTCTTTGTTGTTCGACAGACACTCAAGTCAAATGTCTGCACAAAGGAGAGAGAAACGTCCTGCCCACAGAAGTGCTGACGCTGTGCATTTCAGCTGCTCGTACAGTCCACGATTTTACAGTTTTTGACTTGGCTTTGGCTTCAAAATCATTATTTTTCTTACTGTGTGTTTACTGAAATCTGACCATATCTTTCTTAATGAAACACATAATATGTACTTGTTCGATTGTGTTTTCTCATTTACAGTAGAAGCATTTGTCCAGGGTTTGTTTACATATATATCAGACCACATTAACCGTTTTATTAACACACTTCACAAATGTCGAACTATAGTGAGCATATATTTATAAATGGTGTATTTTGAACACATGTTGTTTGACCTACGCATTGGAAAGCGAGTGAAATCATATAATCCTTTCTAATCCCGGTTCATCTAAATCTCAGTGGTCCTTTGTTAGTATTGACTTTGTTGGTAGAATAACAGGTGGCAGCATCACAAGCTTCAGCAGCTTCAACTCTGTGCCAGAAATTTCCTTTTATAAAAATAATACAACACATTTTGGCCCAAAAACAGGTCACAAAATGGAAGACAGTTTGTTAGGAGGTCGCCCTGAAGCTTAGTGACCATGAGTGCAGCTATGTGCCGTTAGTTCTTCATGTTTACTGTACGGGATCCATCACGTGACCTGGTTCGCTTTGCTTCTACAGCATTTTTTGAGTTCTTTTTTTTTCCCCTCTCCCCCGCCTCCCTCCTGGCATTACCGTACAGTGTGCTGATATCTTATGTGGCGGCGGTAGGCTCTTGAAACTCTAAGCCCTGCTAGTTTTCAAATGCCCGGAAGGACTAGAAAGATGTAGCATAGAGAGATGGGGGTGGGGTGACTGTGCATGGATGGGGAGAGGGGGGCAAGAGAGGGGAGGATTGGACCATGATGGGAACCCAAGGACAAAAACAGCTAAGGACAAATGCATATTGGATACCGATCTGCTTTCCGAGTCTGTTCTCTTTTTTTTACCTTCTATGTATTGGGCCGCGTGTGTGGTTAGCATCCACAGGTTTAAAGCAGCTACCAGATACGTAACCAAAGCTTCTACTGATTAGACACTCATTTTGTTCCCTATTTACATAAGCTAATCCGTAGCTGTGACCTGAATTGTGCCGTCCTTCACTCTATAGTCAAAAAACAAAAGTCCGGGCACACGGCGTTGGGGGTGGGGTGACTGTGGACAGGATTATTTAGGGATATTGACGCACATATCGTCCACATGCATGTAGGAAAGTCATGTTTGTGTTTACAGAGACAACACTGAACTTATCTTTAAAGAAAAGAGAAAGCTACGGTAAGTGGAGAAATGTGGGGCATGTCTACAGGGCGAGTACATCTTTAAGTAGAGGGCTGCAGCGGGGCAGACTGGAGGCATGTAAAACTCACCATTCTCACTCAGACGGACGCCCAGGCTGGTCACAGAGTCCGAGATGGAGCGTGTGAAAGTAAAATCGTCCAGCGGTTGGTGGTGGTGGTTCGACGAGGGTGCATTGGATGAAGAGAAATCATCAAGCTTGATCTTCTTCACCAAAAATGAACGGGGCATGTTTCAGAGGATGGAAACACTTAGTGGAGAAAAACACATGAGAAAAAGAGATGCGGGAGGCTTGGACGGTAATCCTTTTGGTTAATGTAAAGACGTGGCCAAAAGCACAGGATGAAAAAGAAAATGTAAATCAGAGAAGAACAAGGCTGGCGACAATGCTGTGTGATGCTCTCTGGCTCCCCCAGCTTCCCCCAAAACATAAAAAAATAAAAAATAAAACCAATCCTGTTCAGCACTGGATAGCTCCTGTGATGCAGTAGGCTTAAGGGACCAGTGAGGAAGAGAAGAGATGGAGACAGAGCGGAGGAGAGAGGAGGGAGAGAGACTGTCAGACTAGCTGAGATCAGCAATCACGCCAGCCTTTATATGGGGCACAGGCAGTGGAAGATCAGGTGGTGCTGCGAAATGGAGCTGCTTAGCTTTAATCCATCAAATGTCCCCAGGGACACACATCAAATTACTACTGAACCGTCTGTGCATTCGCACACAGACAGAACAGCAGACCCCCACGGCCCCCTCCTCTTTCACCCCACTACTGCTGGAGGAGGAGAGGAGGAGAGCGCAGAGACAATGGAGATGTGGATGAGAGCACTCGCTGTCCTCTCCCCCATTGTTTTCAGATGAAGTGGCACAGTTTATGTTTGCCTTGTAGCGGCCTTGCCTCCTCTGTCAGCTCTGTTACCTCAAAGCGCCACGTCCCAGTGCTGTTACGGCTGTAGTTAGAACTGTACAGTGTCACTGCTGTTATGGAGTTTTTTCTTGTTGAGAAAGAGAAACAGTATGGACTGGGGATGCTCTGGGACACTTGGGTAATGTCTGTTTGATTTACTAACAAGTTGGTAAACTCAACTCTTATGTGAAGCCCTGCAGAGCGACTGTTGTTGTCATTTTGGACGATAAACATGATTTGGCCGGAGTGTTATAACTGTAATGTTACAATAGGGCTCTCACAGGAGGAGGTGGAGCATGTGGAGCCGGACTGTAGATTCCAGTAGAGCGCTCTCTCTCCATTACCGCTGCACAGATGTGTGTCCTGCCATGCGTGGCACTGAATTATCTGATTAATTAATTACATCTTTTTTGATTAGGGTGAAATCCGAAATTAGATTTGTGCTCAGTAAATTGGCCAGATATTCTCCGAGCTGGTTTGTATTTATGTAGATTCATCAGCTCATTTTATGAATTTTATGCAACGTTATGCAAGCTTTAATTCAAAAGTTAAGCATTAGTCTCACCCTTCAGTGTAAAATCAAAGTGAAATACTTAGACAAAAATAATTAAATTATGGCGTCTGAACAGCATGGAACTTCAGACACCTGTTTGATTCACTATCAACAGGAAGATATTCAACCAGTTGTTCTAGTAAATGAATGATTCATAAATGGTGACAGAACACTATAATAAATATTTGTTAACTGTACTTGATGTGGGAGGGTGGGGTCATATGGTGCTTTTGAGGCGTACAACATAAGATATAAGAATCACTTTGGAACATGAAAATGCATAGTAGCCTAATTTGCTCATGATGTCTTCACATTTTTCCTATGCCTTGAGAGCAGTATTTCACTGTACCAGAAACTGCATGTCACTGTAAGAAGAACAGTATCATTTCAGCATTTTTTGCATTGAAGACTTTTCCACTGATCATAACGAAATTGCAGCTGAATCTGGTTGAAAGTGTCATAGATTCCGGTTGACGTTTAGGGGTGCCCTCTCTTTGTGCATGGTATAAATCACGAATGCTGTGTGTACAGTGCATGACCCGGGTGTGCGCGTGTGGCCGCTCTCACACGGATGCCCTGTTAAATCAGAGCACTGGATTTATCACGCCGATGTGATTGTACATTACAAGACAAGTTCACGTCGCTGTCACCGGGGCCGCGCTTATGAGCAGAGGCAAGGACACGGAAAGGTCAAAGGAGGAATCATTGTCACAAAGAGCAGCTTCAGCCATTTTACCTGAATTATATGTTCACTGTTCAGTAATAAATGCGCAGGCTGGTGTTTTCTCATTCTCGAAGATGTGACGGTATGTTCCTGGATGTAGGCTGCAACCTGTGGGTGGGTGATGTTAACAAAAACTAATACTGCTTTGCTTTTTATATTAGAATTTTCTTTAAAAGTCCCTATTGAGATTTTTTTTTAAAGTGAATTGAATAAAAGAAAAATATTAAAAGATAGCATACATTTTCCACGTGTACTGTAAGTCTCTTTTGGTTACCTTTAGAAATAGTTATTATTACAAACACAGTATTAATTATTTTATATATATATATTCCATTTCCACTTCTTCCATCCTTTATATCCGAATACTTTTTTGCCTGATGTCACTTAGAATTTTTTGTTTGTTTAGTTTGATCAACTGACATTGTATTTTTTCATTTTGTGATTTTTTTATTTTTATTTGACCTAAAGTCCGTAATAAATTTGACTTTTTCCTGAAAACTTAACTAAAGAAAAAAATAGATCCTCATTAGGTCAGAGGATGTTCTGGGACATTTAACCATTTGCATAATTCCTTTGAGACGACTAATGTTGTGATTTTGGTCTTTCCTAAAATAAATGATTAGTATCAGAAATATTATAACACTACAGTCTGTGAAAATATAAACTAAACACAACAGGTCTTCCACAGGTGACAAACGACCGAAGTATCTGCAGCAGACGCATTTCACATGGTCCCGCATCAGCAGCTGTCTTCACTTCCTCTGCCCTCCTCCCCTCTTTCTCTACTTCTCCCTATGGCCCCCCAAAACTCCGACATGTGGCCACTGCCTCGGGATGTTACCATGGAGATAGCCCCCCCATTCCAGCCTGGAGAGGAGGGGGAAGTCTGTGGTCAGGCCTGGTACAGTCAACCCCATTACTGCCCTGTATGGGCCCCTGGGCGATGGAGATGACCTGAGATTGAATGGAGCAATCCAGTTGATTTGTTCCTTTACTCAGCCCCATAAGAACCAGCGCTCACTGTTTCCCAGCAGGGTTTATTACCTCTATTTACACATGTGAAGTCCACCAGAGCTGCTACAAATAAGGACTGCTATAGAAATACGCTGCTCAGGCATTATTTATACCGTGACCTCCTAAAAAGGCACATTTCTCTTTGCCATTAAGAGGGTTTATTCTGTTACGAAGGCTATTATGTCCATGTTACTCCTTATGTGGATAAATAAGTTCAACCATATAAATATCATTTTACACATTGTCCTTTCTTCCTCCCCACTTGTTAGAGTAACTAGACCATGATTTCTGAAGAGATTTGTAATAGATTTTTTTAGAGCTGAAGCGAGTAATCGAATCCAACTGCTTGAGGAAAAGTCTTTTGGCTCGATCTTTCAGATAACGATGATAATCACCTAAAACTATTGCGCTGCTTGTTTCACATGGAGCTGTTTTTAAATTTTCTTTAAATATTTGTTATGCATTCACTGATAATCAATTATAAATGTAAGGTAATATCCATACATTACTCGCATTACATTATATATGTATTTTCACAAATGAAATCATATACTTTGATTTGAAAGATTTATGTGAGTCATTTTTATTCTTTTTAATTGACAAAAATAGACCAAAGTCATCCATTATACCAATCTCCAATAGTGGATTCAATCTCATAATATTTAGGATGCGTCATACTTGTTCTGTAACAACAAATATGATGCATCCTAAATATTATGAGGAATCTTAAAATCTTTGCCTAAATTGCTACTATTGTTTTTCTCCATCTTGGCGATGCACAACTGTGTGTTATGTCCCCATATTCTTGCGTCTCTTTCTCTGGACATTAGTAGCTGGTGCAGAGAAAGCTAAGAGTCCATTAGCCATCTATAATTCACCCCTTTCTTTCTTTATGGGTCACTTCAACAAGGCTTTTGAGCCGCATGTCTAGAAAGCATACAGCCTTAAAAGCTAATAATATTGCTAACAAAATTGCATATGGCAGTGGATAAAGTGGATTCAGGATGATAATATCTTTGATAATATCTTCTATGAATACACAGCAACAATTCACCATCACACTGCATGAGTTAGGTTATCCATACTGTTACTAATGTTGTTTGCTCCACATCTAAGTGCATCGCTCATGCCCTACTTGGCGTGTGACTGCCTGTTGTCCTGTGTGCGGCTTCGAGCGTGTGTGCATTTGTTGTCCATGGCCAACTGTTCTGTAAATAGGGCAATTAAGTGTGAAAAGCAGAAAGAAGCTATGTTCCTATCTCTTTAGTGGGGGAGATAATTTATGCTAATAACATCTCTACCGCTCAAGCTGCCCAAAAATGATAGCAGACCCTTTTGGCTTCAGAAGAATCTTTTCATCCTCTTGGTTTCTGAACACCTTGCAAATAAGACAGCTGTGTGGCAGTCAATGGCCCTCTCCCCCTCACTCCGGCGCTGCTCCTTTCATCTCTATGATAATCTTTTCTCCTCACTGGTTTGTATGGGCCATGTTTGTTCTTCTTTTAGCCCGTGGAATACTTGAAACCTACTTCTCCAGCCCCTCACAGCTTGCTCACAATCCAGCAGCATTTTGCCTTGGAGAGCCTTCAGGAAGTAGGGCTGCATGATTAATCGCAATTGAACAAAATGTGAATGGTCAGAGTTAAGAAAAGCAACAATTGCAACTTAAGCAACAAATTACTGGAAACAACCAAATACATAATAATACAATAGCAGATGGTCAAGAGACAGTATATGATGTACAGTATGTTTGCATTATGTCATTTTATGAGCCGCAACTAATTCATTTGAGCATTATTTTATATGTTGGGTACTCTGTTGGTCTCAACTGGCTTTCTGCAGTCTACATAAACAATTGAACCACCAACCTGTGGGTTAATGGATCACACCGTTCTTATAATTAACGTTCTTTGCTTATGGTCGGAGCGGGATTTGACCCCCTAATGGAGGGAGGATTTTCTACTAGTACTAACGCTTTACTATGTGTTCGCCAATATATTATTTTAGTTTCGTAGAACGTTTTAGTTCAGTTGATAGAA